TTGTTTCAGGCATTATTCTTATGACACTAAAAGTTTATGAGCATCTTTTGAAAGACAGCCTATCTACACAGTACAATATAAGTAAAAGCAAGTTGACAATGACTTGACAACAACATCTTCATGGTGACTGAAATCTGGCTACAGAGAAGAAACGGAGAGTATTCTTATTTTATCCCCCACAAACGTATACATTTAGTCTTCACTCTCATTACCCTGTGTCATATAAAAATGGTAATTCATTGTCAAGTGACATTTCAAATGGACTGTGACTTATTTCAGAAAAGTATGAGAAAAGCTGGAGGCAGATACAAAACTAGTTTATGGTAAACAGCACCATAATTTATCTTTTCAGAACTATGTACTCTAAATTGTTTAAAATATAAACACATTGAGAATACATTGAAAATGATTCTATCTCTCTTATATAAGTCTGAAAAAGTAAGAACATTTAAAAAGTTTAAAAATATTAGTGCATGATAATAACAATTTTAATAAATTGTTTTAAGTAAACCATTTTATTATATTATATAAATAATAATTTTATTTATTTAATTGTATATATTATATAAATAATACTTTTTTATTTAAGTGTATATTTTTTAAAAAAGATGCCAGGGCTTCTCTTCTTTATTTATTTAATATTCTGTTACATTCACCACCATCTAGTTAAGCTCTCAACTCAGTTCTCCCACTCTCATTCACTTCTCTTGTAACCATCATTCTATTGTCAGAATCTAAGGTTTTAGTTTACTGTGTAGTGTTTTCTTTTTTACATCATTTTCTTTTATTACACATATAAATAAAATCTGACAGCATTTGTCTCTCTGTTTCTGACTTATTTTACTTAGCTGTTCCTGACTTACTTCCCATTATCTTTCAACCATGTTGAACATTGAATGGCCAAATTTCTTAACTCATTTCACTTTTAAAAGCCCACTGCTTAAATGAATGGGTATTTTCTTAGTCATAATTGTTTTCAGTGATATATGTAATTTTGCACAGAGAATAACTAGGACCGCTGTTAACTCTTACTCTGTGCCTTTGTTTACAATGGTAAGCAAAGATGCAAATGTGAATTTTCTATAGGGAAATAATTTCATTATAATAAACCTATCTTAAAAGCATTGCTACCAGAGCATGATAAGATTTATATATGGCTCTTGCATAGTGAGATTTGAGGGAGACTTCAAAATTGTCCTCTACACCGACCTTCTGTGTTGTCAACCTTTGCACTCACTGAGTCCAAAAACATAAAGTTTGACTCAGTTTTAATTTATACAACACAAGTGTTATCTACTATTAGAATGCACAAGTGTTGTGTGGGTTGATAGGAAAGTCTTAGAATTACTTCAGCCCTGCACTTATTAATACATGTTATCAAATTCAGTCACCGTATCAATATGATAGCTAAAACTATTCTGAGGTAATGGGAAAATGCAGATATATTTGTAACTGGATAAGATTTTAGAGCTAATTTAGTTCATGGTTTTATAAATGATCAGAAACAAATGCAGAGAGAGTAAACATCTCAAACAATCCTAATGGTAAAATTTGGATTAAGTCAAGTGTGTGTTTTCTGTTTTTTTGTTGTTTGCTGAATACTCTGTATGATCAGGTGGCAAGGATAAGATCTTACTAAGAGAAAAGGAAAGAATAAACAGAAGACTAAGTATACCATGTCATAAAAGAAATGACCAATATAAAATTCTAAAATAGAAAATAAGAAATAGAAAAAAATATGCTCTACTTCCATAGACTCCTGCATAATTAAAATAATTGTCTACATAGTCAATATTTCCCTAATATTTGGTTTTCGACTGAATTATTAATTCAATTGGTAATGTAGAAAATTTATATTATTGTAATATTTTCACTGTAAAATATTTTATCATTATTCAACTTCACACAAACTTAATTTTTTGAAATGTCATTTTTACTTTTGTGAATTAATAACTGATTATCCCAATTTTATCAAAGCATCGATATGATCATAATATTTTTCATAGCGATGATATTAGTTTTATAAATATATATAACAATTCAAGACAAAGGAAAGTATGTTAGTGATATTTTCTTTGAATAAATGTACAATTATTAAGTGTTTCTAAAATGGGTTAACTTCCAGGAATTTTTTCCAGAGACCCATAAAATCCGTAAATATATTGGATTTGAAGTTATCAAAATGATAATTCTAATAATTCTATTTAGTTCAAGTTAAAGAAATTATTTTTATTCTTAGAATGCATTCTTGCATTCTTCTTCCTCATCAAATAAAAGAAAATAGTATGAAGTCTATTTTTAAAAGAATTAATTTACATTCTCTCCTAGTGAGATGTATTATGCTACAGTATAGAAGTTCAATGGGAGGACAGTACTACAGTGCTACAGTATAGAAGTCAGAAAAATTCCTTTGTAAAGCATAAATACATGTCACTGTCTACTTAAATTTTTCTGTTAGTTTTACCTTTACTACATCATCCTGAAAATGAAATTTTAAAATTAACTTTCCCATCTTACCCTGTTTGCATCATAGTCATATAATATTATTGCACTGGAAATTTATCTTCTAAATTTTACAAAGAAAAATAATCCAAATAGTTAGTTATAACTGCATTGCATTTCAGAGGTTAAAATTCAAGGAAAATATTTGAGGTAATAATAATTAAGAACTCGGACAGCATCCAAAAATGTTTTTCATGGAAAATCCAATACAAATCCTGATTAAAACTTAACCAAGCAAAACACTACAGATTACCTGGATTCCAATTAAAGGTGACAAATGAATACTTGACAGGTTTCAATTTCAATTCTATTTATGTTTGAATGATCCATTAATTTTTAAGAAGAAATTACCAAAATAGAGTAATATAATTTCACCTTAAGGCCAGATAGGAGTCTGAAAATTTGTACCTAACAAAACTCTTACTCAAATGTCAAATACTACATTTGAATCACTCAAAATGAACCACATTTCCTTCTGTCACTACCTATAGATCTGGGCTAACATGAATCACAGCTAGCAGATGACGAATGGTTATATAAGTTTTAAATTTCTAGTGTCAATCACATAAAAATCAGAAAAAAAAATAGTTACATTTTGAAGATTCCTGCTGTTAACAGGACTAAAAACATGGTTAAAAAATAACTACCAGCCTTTTTAAAATTTTTTTTCCCCAGTAAATTTCCTGTTTTCCTATCAAACCCACCTGCTTCTTAACATTTCTATGAATTGTATTTCCTGAAAACTTACTACTATTTTTATCATGTATAATTTTGTTACTATTTATAATTTCATCCTTATTTTATAGGCACAAAATCCATATAAACTCATGGAAAACCACATTAACGTGATTATAATTTAAATGATAAAATATTCTTTCTATTAATGTGGTTGGCATTCCCAATTGAGACTTAATTGTAGACTATCTTTTTAGTGCATAAATAAGCACTTCTATAAACACAAGTTATATATCATTAAAATACTGAAATATAAATCAGAAATAGTAATGCCCTTCATTTAAATTATTTCTTCCTTGTTAGTATACAGGTATGTTTAAAATTGTATCCATGTGCACATAGTACACTTATATTTAGACTTAATTTTTATCAATGTGAATTTAAACTTACTTTCCTTAGATATCTATTCACCATTATTTCAATCTAAGTCCAAGTTTTACACTCACTTACATATCTAAAATTAATTCTTAAAATAAAACATCAAACTCCCACCCACATAAACATACACTACCATACATATGGAAAATCATGTCTTTATAGCCATATGGCAGATGCCATTTAAAATCTGGGTAACTACCAAGAAGGACACCAATAATTAGAACTTGATATCATAGCCTCCTGCCCTATAGTATTGTGAAAAGAGCAATCATATAAAATTAGTTTAGCAGTAACTTTACTTGGCTGATTTATGATATATTATTCTCTAATGTTAAACTTTGATATTCACAGTTAAAGTTAGAGGGGAGAACAGACTTTTTTTTGCATATGTATGCTCTATCTGCATGTTATCACCAAAGAAAATGTGATAGAGCATAAAGTTAATGGGGCTTATTTCACTTGGAGATAATGATAGACCTAAAGTCATTTTAATTTTTTATTAGAGATAAAGCTTGTGTGATTCCCCTTCCTTCCTGTTTGTATAATCAAATATTTTATTAATTATTAAATAATCAATTTAGGAAGAACTTTACCACTCCATTATTTGATATTAACATATTCCTCAGACATTAATACATAACCTGAAAACCAAAAAAATAAATTTCAGAACATAAACTAATGTGAATGCTTCCTAACTACTATTTGCCACCTAAATTTATAACTTAAAGTTAGTATAAGGCCAATTATAATAAGTCATCACACAACGAAAAAGAGTATTTAGAGTACTATTGCTTTCCTCTCTTTCACAACATAAAACACAAAAGAAATTACTTAAATTAAAGGCATCGTCCAGTAAGCATTTATGATGTACTTTGGAGAACCAAATAATACTGTTCTCATTCCTTGGATGCTTTTGAGCTAACACTTGAAAGAAGAGGTTTGAAAATGCATTTCTAAATACCAAAGAAAAGAATGAATCACATGTGTATTTGTCACTTCCTCTCACTAGATAATTGACTAGAAGAAATAGTTGCATGACAAAAACGGATAAAAGAAACAATAACGCAAGAACTTTCTCTGTTGTTGCTGTTTAGGAATTATGCACTGATTTAGTTGTTTTTACATGGCAGGTACCTCTCTGATTTATTTGTTAATGTGTTAATATCTGATAAACTCTTTTTAAATGCTGATGCGAGTTTGGTGAATTTTATCTCTATTATAATGATCATTTATTGGGAAATGTTGCAGTTGAGCAGCTGTTCCTTAGTTCAAATAAATAAGATTTAATGTCAGCTATTTTATTTGGGGTTTGACTGACCTTAGCAACTCTACTTAGAATGGCTCACTAGCGTGATGATGTGTGTGGATGTTGTGTTTGCCCCTACCATTTTCCATATGCTCTGCCTCACCAACACTGCCATCCGGCGTGGTCCTTTCATAGTTGTCTTCTGGGAGTGGAAGGGCACCCAGTCTTGGCCCTGATGAACTCTTACTGCTTGGTGTTTCTGACTCCTCCAGCCCGCTGTCATAGCAACTCTGCAGTGACCCCTGGTGAGGGTCCTGGGGCTGACTCACAACAGAAAACGTCACTCTACGAAATGGCTGTAAAAGAAAAGATTCTGAATGTCACTAAGATAGAAGATTGCACATGATCGTATCAACACATAAGATGACATACATCAAGGTCTAGTGACAATGCATTCATACAAAATAGTTCATTGCACAGTTTGATTGAAGTTTCGTTGGTTCACCGAATTACCCAAGGAAATGCCTAAAATTTAGATTTTATGCTAGAAAAAAACACAGAATATTCACATTCTGAAGTGCAGATTAAAAAGCAACCATTTTCCTTAAATACACTTGCAAGCCTGACATACTAGTTTCACATATTCCACCATTTTATATTTCGTCTTTACTTCAAGTGCTTTCCACAGATGCCTCTAAAAATAAGAAAAGGTCAGTGATTTGGAAAAGCAATAGTGAGTGAATTCATTTTAAGCCTTCATCGTGAAATACTTTGGCCATATAATGGTATAAAATTGGGATGGAATAGATAATATAGCAAATAAGGCCTTGTTTTGCATGCTGCTTATCCAGATTTGATCCCCAGGACTTCATGTAGTATCCTGAGCCCACCAGGAGTGATTCCTGAACACAGAACTAGAAGTAAGTACTGAACCCATTCTGGTGTGGCCCCAAAAACAAAATGAGAAAAAAAGAGAGTGTTCAGGAAATTTAAACTATTAAGGAGATAATGTATATATATATGAATTTAGATGCAGTTATAATATAGCATATGCATATATCTTACTCCACATGCATTAAAAACTAATTACCTATGGCCTTAAGTTTAAGATTGGCATTTAGGTAGCAGATGAAAATTTCATGAAATTTTTATTTCATAGATTAAAAATGCATTCAAAAATTTGTGTTAGCCAGGAAATGCAAGTAAATAGAAAAAATTACTGTATATGTTTACTATCATTATAATTTGTTTGAAAAACAGTGAACAGGATGCCTAGTTTAAGTTGCATTTTCTTTGGTTTTTGAACCACATCCAATAGTTTTCAGGAATCACTCCTATAGAACTCCACCGGATCTTATGGAACAGCAAGGAAAGAACCCAGACTGGATTCATGCAAGGCAAGTACTGTATCTAGTGGGTTATGTCTCTGATCCTAAAGTCTCCTTTTAACAATGCTGCAAATAGGCATTCAATTAGATGTTATGATTTAATATGTTATGATTTTAACAAATGTGAATAATTTATGATTATTATAATACACGTGAAGCCCCCGCATATGAGATTTATTAAGGGAACACACTAACAACATGTATTGGCTGTGTGACTTATGATGCTATTTGAAAAAATAATATAAAATGTTTTTTTAATATCTGTCTGAGATATTCTTGGCAATACTATATTCATATTTTATATGATTTGAAAGTGGCATAGAAGTACATATTTTAAATCTATAATTCAAACTGGCTCTTCCTAATAAAAACTATAAAATTACTACTGCCAGAAAATAATGCAAAGGTAAAGAGAGTTTTTAAAACTTTTTATAGCTTCAACACTAATGGCACAAATCACAACTGGAACAGGCAAAGTTTTCTCAATGTTAAGAATTATCTACATATGGCAGATAAGTGGCACTTTCCCAAATTTACAAATCTCTTTATTAAGGACTATATATATATATATACATATATATATATACACACACACACATATATATGTACAATATTCCCATTATTTATTTTTGTCTCAAAGAGCATATTGCCAAGAAAATCATTCCTTTTTTTTTTTAATATTCTGGGAATCAAATACGGGCTCTAACACATGCAAAAGCAAATAATCTATTTGAACCACATCCCAGATCCTCACTATTATACTATGTTATGTTATGTACATAGTAGTTCATCTTCCCTGTACTTTTTAAGAATTAACAGTCTTTTAAAAGTTCGTACTTTTTTTGAGGTCAAATAAAAATTCGGAAATCTCAGATTTTTTTTTGTCACAGCAAATAGTTTAAAGCAATTTTTTAACTTTATTTAAAAAATAAATAAAGCATGATTTGAAAACAACTGTAGAATATGTAAAGAATAAAAAGGCTACACATCACAGACTAAATTACACTTACAATAAACTGTTATGGGACTGGAGAGATAATATGGGGATAAGTTGCTTGCTTTGCATGCAGCCTTGGTATGAGCCCTGTTCTGCATATGGTTCCCCAAGTACCACAAGAATGACCCTTGAGCACAGCATTAGAAGTAAACCCTGAACAGAGAAAGGATTAAGGTCCCCAAACTAAAATAAATAAATTAATAAATAAGCTCTCTAGAAACAGTTTCCTGATTTACTAATAGTCCTCATAAAACTCAATATAGTATGATTCTGACAGTTTACCTTATATCTAAATAAATATAGAAATAAATGTGTTTACCACACTTTATTTTATATATGCATGTTTTTCTTTAAGCATTTTGTAATTATTGAAAAATTTAAAAGTAAAAACTTTAGTCTCCATAAGTTATTTTAAGTTGCATATAATATTTAATAATGAAAGGTAAAAAACTAATTCAATAATACTAAAGTCTACTTAAATACTGATAGAAAATATTTATTAATAAATTTTTGGATTAGGTGCTTTTTATTTAAAGTAATATAGGAATATTTTTAATTATAATCAAAAGCCAAAATAACAATAATCACATAAAAAATCACAAAATACTCCACCCATCATTTTACCCACATCTAAAATATTCAAAACAACACCAGCATTATATTGCTATCATTAAAACTTAATTTTGATATTATTAATAAATATAATTATGGAACCAACTATTTAAGCTGGGCAATGTGAATCAAATTAATACATAATCCAAAATTCTGAAGAACTCATTATTCAAGAGTTAAACTTGAAGGCTTAAACACTTCAGTAAATCATTTTGGTTTGCTTCCATAGATGATAGGCAGACAGATAAATTTTCTCTAGCTAGGACTAGAGAAAATATTTACATGCAATCCTTCATCATCAGATCGAATCATTTGAGAAAATAGGTTTTATTGGAGGACATTATAAGACAAAATTCAATTTTTTCCTATATTCTAGAAAGAGTGATTAAAATAGAGATGTATAGCAGTGTGTTGACTAGGACATGAGGACATTTAGTGAGCTTAAGATATTTGAATGTTGTACTTTGGGGTCTAAGGTGAACAATGATTTTGGATTTACAAAGACAAACTGATTGAAAGGAAGAGAAAGAAAAAAAGCTGTTGAGTTAGAACAGCGCCTTCTCTGTGACATTCTTAAGCTGTGCTCAACATTAATTCCAAAAATTCTAAGTGGCTCTCATCTATGGGAATCATAAAAATAGGTGATGTGGAAATAGCATATTTTAGTTAGTCATGGGAATGACAAAATTAAAGGGGTGAGGTCAAACTCAAGATATGAACATTTCTTGTAAGAGAAAGGACTACTGAAGACAGAGAATTAAGAAAGGTGATCTATGATACAAACAGTCATAGGAAGGGCAGCCAGACAATTATAAAGTAATCCTCTATAACTGATTGGATTCTAATTTCAGGGGTAATTAGCAAAGATTGAGTGACCCATAGGATTCAAAGAAGAGACCACAAGAAGAAAAGGAACAAAAAGTGGGGCAAGGAGCTAAGGCTCATGCATGCGCCTGACCCAGTTCAATCTCTGGCAGGATTAGTACGCTATACTAATATTTGTTTTGCAATCATTGTATCCAGAGAGTTTCAAGGGTATTATGACAATCATATATGCATTCAAGAAACTTAAAATCTCAAACTAGACAAACTGCATATAATTAGGTTGCAAATCAAATACAAATATTAAAAATGTGTAAAGCCTGGTTGGGAATTTGAGCATTGCAAATAGAGATTTAGGGTTGAGAACTCAAAAAGAAGTTTTATAGATAATATGTATTTGAGACAAGTTTAGCACTGTAGCACTGTCTTCCCGTTGTTCATCAATTTGCTCGAGCGGGCACCAGTATCGACTCCATTGTGAGACTTGTTACTGTTTTTGGCATATCGAATATGCCATGGGGAGCTTGCCAGGCTCTGCTGTGCAGGTGGGATACTCTCAGTAGCTTGCTGGGCTCTCCAAGAGGGACGGAGGAATCAAACCTGGGTTGGCTGCGTGCTAGGCAAATGCCCTACCTGCAGTGCTATTGTTCCAGCCCAAGATATCATATTTGAAATGGCAACAAGAGACTTTTAAAGAGGAAAAGAAGCTGGGAAGATAGTTTAGTAGTCAGGGGTGCATGCTTTGCCTGCATGGAAGTTTGAGTTCTGACCACAGCACCACGTGGACCCCCCCAGCCACACTGGGATAGCCCTAGTTGTCTCCAGCACTGCAAAAGCAAAGCAGTTCTGTTACCTTGGGTCTGTCATTTTAGTCAAGGATGTCTGGGTGTGGCCCTAGGCACTACTTAGGAGGTCTCTCTCTCCAGAAAACCAGAGATGGAAATTAAAGAAAAAGAAAGAAAAGAAAAAAAGTTAACTAATTTTTTTTCCTTTCAATTTCACTGAGGCATTGTGATTCACAAATGCTGTTACTTACAGAGTTTTATGCATATAATGATCTAACACCATAGATCAGTTCAGCGTTAAACCCAGAAGACGGAGAAATAGATCATCTTTAGAAAGAAAAACCTGTAAGAACAAAGGTAGCATGGGACGTGGGAAAGATTGCTGAATCCCATGAGACAATGGATTCATTCATTAGAAGGACACTTTTGCTATAAACCTCTAGAGCCTGGGGAGACTGAGAAATAGAACAGAGAAAGTAAAACACTGATAAGTAAACACATAAAGAAACAAAAAATGAGTGGACAGATTTTCAGTTTATATATGAGAGACCTAGCATCCCAGTTAAAAGAAAGAGTGGCATGAGAAGTTTGCCAGTATTAGTATTTTTAAAAACATTTTGCTCTGACATTTGAAAACACAAAGCAAAAGGAATGTTTTTAAACAGAATGCTGTAGAGAAATACAAAATTAGAGAAGGAAAGTAATAAGATATGAGAGAAATGAAATGAAAATTACATAGGTGATGCAAACAT